TTTACAGTATATAAGGTGTTGCGAGAGATGCTTTCAACATCTCAAGAGAGCACTACTGGAAGATGACAATGTATTACAGTCCTTTGCAAAACAAATGAGCACCAAAGAAAATTACAAGTCAAATAGCTGTGAGTTCCACTTAGTAGCAAGTGCGCGAATGAGCATCTGGCAATTGGCGAGCGTCAGGCGTTATTTACATTGCCTCAAAGTGGATGGTGAAGAAAAATCAATATGGATACAAACAGTGTAATGACAGAGTAATGTGTTCCCCTGGGCAAGCAACCCAGAAGAAATCCTGTCAGGGTACTGCGGAGTGGAGGTGGAATTCAGTTGGTGTCTTTTAACCAACCCTTTCCGCTGCCACATTCAATGCACATCTTGGCTCCTGAAGTCAGTTTTCAAGGCTGTCTTCTCTCGCTGCCTCCTCAGAATGCCAACTCTGCAGAGCCGCCAATCACAGCAGTTGGATGGTACGGTAAACAAGAATGTAAGTGGGCAGGAGCACAGAGGCATAAAGACACACACACACACACACACACACACACACACACACACACACACACACATCACACACACACACACACACACACACCACACACACACCACACACACACACACACACACACACACACACACACACACACACCACACACACACACACACACACACACACACACACACACACACACACACACACACACACACACACACACACACACACACACACACACACACACACACACACACACACACACACACACACACACACACACACACACACACACACACACACACACACACACACACACACACAAACACACACACACACACACACACACACACACACACACACACCACACACACACACAACACACCACACACACCAGGGTGAAAAAGGTGGGAAGGATATTATCCCTCTAGGGGGGTCCGGGGGTAAGATGTATGCTCCTCCAGAAGAAAATGTTGAATATTCCATATTTTAAAACATCAATCTGATGCATTTTGAGATGCATTTTTTTGCCAACCTGGGGAGAGCTGGAGAAACGTAACTTCAGCCATGAGTCAAAAATATTATGGCCTCCTTACTAAGTATTATCAGGGATGCAAACTCATCAGGTATGGAAAAGGTGACAAAGACCCGAGCCCCCCGACCCCACGGAATATCGGCTTTAAAATGAGGAATAACAGAGGATTTTAGCAGTCAGAGCAACTAAAGCAGCAGTGTTAATAATAACAGAAACGCTAAAGAGTCACATCTAATAGAAATATATAAAAGCATTTATTTTAATTGTGTAGCAGTCAGTTTATAATTTTGGCAGCACTGTTGAGCATTTTGAAAATCTATTGTCATGCCTCTGTGCAAGGCTTAGTCTTTCTATCTTTATGGCATCTGGTGTAAAGTAACTAAATTCATAAACTCAAGTACTATACTTGGGTACAATTTTGAGATACTTGTACTTTATTTAAGTATTTCAATGTTTTGCTACTTTGTTCTTCTTCTCCTACAGTTCAGAGGTAAATGGTGTACTTTGACTCCTCTACATGTATTAATACCTTTAGTTACTTTACAGATGTGGATGAATGATAGTAAATCTAATCAAGTGTTGAATCAGACTTTAGTTCCACCTGGAGTAAATCCACAAGCTACCCTGCAGTATACAAAGTCATTCAAACTAGCTGCACCTTTACCAGCTTTGAGAACACTTTGATGATCAATCATCATAAAACATATATATTATTCTGAAATGGACCAATCTGCACAATGACTACTTTTACTGTCGCTACTTTCACTATATTTTGATGAGAATACTTTTCTACTTTTACTTGAGGAACATTTTGAATGCAGACTTTTACTAACAGAGTATTCCTACACTCTGGTACTTCTACTTTTACTCAAGTACAAGACCTGAGTACTTCTACTTTTACTCAAGTACAAGATCTATACTTATACCACCTCTGTTTATAGCCTATGAAAAAAAAACTATTAGAAAACGAAGGCTAAAGCTAACGTTAGCAGATAGTGACAATGTATGCTAGCTAGCTAGCTCAACGATAATATTGCGACAGAAAAACTTTCCAGTGCACATCACGCTCTGCGCTTCGACAGGGAGCTCTGCTCTGAACACCTGAACGGCCCGTTCTAACAGCTGTTCACCAGCGGTCAGTCTGTGCCACAGTGACTCCGGACCGCACAGTTAATATTAACGAACGCACCCGTAGGTAATGTGGCTGCTGAAGCTAGACCATCATCGCGGAGCAGCAGAGCCGACAGGCAGGAAGACTCGAGCACACAGCTCGCGCTGCATTATAATATATAAAAAAAGAACACCATGCTTGTCATGATGGCACATAACAGCTCGCGGCCGCAGATTACTCCGGGTCCCAGACCCCCCCATACCCCAAAAATATTTTTATTGCAGATCTACATGAATCACACAAACGACCTATTTTGGATTCAAAATGGCGAATTTCGCCGAAAGGTGAGTGATTTTCATGCCTGACACACACACACATTCAAACAACAGGAGAACAGGGAGCTTGAAAGCTTGACCTGTTTTCGTTTAAGCTGGTGTGGATCGATCAGAGAGGCATGGTTTTGATCCTGATTCCTGGCCTCTCTTCTTCTATTAGACCACTCAACCTGTCCGTCAGGTATCAATCAATACTGCTCATAGAACTCCTAGAAAGTTGCCATACTTATATAGTGAATACATTAGCTGATGGGATTCCAACACTATACACAGTCTATAGCTGTGAAACCACTCAAACACGCTCCATGTAATTCATGACATTTGGTCACACCACACAGATAAATATGTTTGTAGCTTGTAACTTCAGATAAGATTGAAAGCAATCGATTACAGTTTTTAGACTAAAAGTTATTTCTCTATTCTGAAATAAGGAAGCTGAAATAAAGAAACAGCACTAAAACCATAACTTATCACTTTAAAAAAAAGTGTGATAATATCACCAATCAGCCAATTAATTAGGTTGGAATGAGAGAAAGCGTACAGCCCTACTGAGCCATTCACTGAGAGGATGTGTGATTTAGGTCAACACCATGATAGCACTCCACCTGACCTCTGTAATTGGCCACTAGCTGTGAAATTGGTAGCCCTCCACCCATATTTCTAGTTCCTCACTTCCACGTCCATCCTCTCCTCCAAAGGTCGAGCCCTCCCCTCCTCTGGTGTCTGCTGATCTTACTGTTTGAACCGGTCACCCCCTTGGTCTGTCCTTATTGCTCGCCTCTAACTTAACAATGATAAATACCCAAACACCAAGACACAGCCTATTGTGCTGGAAATAGGCTAGTCATTTTTTATGTTTTAGAAGAAAAGCGCTCTTGACATGTCAACAATTTGAGTGTGAAATCAAAACCAGCATGACTAGGACAAATATGAAACAATGGAGGCAAGCCAGCATGTCTGCATTGTGTTCTCTGTCCCCTGTGCTGCCCTTTTCTTGCAATGTGCATAACCAACTGTGACTTGCACTCTGCATCGCTTGCCAATAGCCTGTCTCTCTCTTTTCTGGTCACTTTCTTCCCGCTGTTTTCCCTTGCTCTTTAAGACAGTTTAGCCATGCCGCGGGTGCACCTCAATAGGCGCCCATGGCAACAATGTCCTCAAAGATGACAGACTCAGCAGAAGTTTGGGCACCCCACAAGACAACAGAGATCAAATCAAAGTCTGGGACAAGAAGCTGATGACATTGTAAAACAAATTACAAAAGAAGCATAGTTGGGCTGCCGTCTGTGGGATTCTGGGAAGCGATCAACTCTCAGTAGGCCAAGCAGAGATTCAAAGAGACTTTAATATCAGGCTACAAGGCACAATTCTCAGCTTTAAGAGCGCTCAGAGTCAATCAAGTTCTTCTCGGGAAGTGTTTTTAGTTAACTACTGAGTGAATGAGTGAAACTGACACCAGTTTCCAGGGGACATCTCACTCTAAGATGACTTCTCATATCTTCTCTCTGAACCTTTTCCCTCTACCAACAGTCCTCTATCCCTACGTCTCTCTTCGTGTTTCAAGTGTTTAATAGCTCAGCCGATGCTTCCCCATGTCCCTTCCTGCCAACAGCCTGTGGCTCTAACTTCAAAGTCTCCTCTGCCTTTTCTTATTTATCTTAACTTCCTGTCACATGGCCCTGAAACTAAACCTGCATTTTTAGAACTAATTGAAGACAAACAGTGGGTTTCTGCTTGTGAATAACAGGTGCATCCATCCACAAGGTATTCAAACTTGATGTATATGTAATGTTAGCCTTGTGTTTGACAGAAAGTCGCAGAAAGAGTGCGAGTACATCTTACAGTGCCAGCATAAATGCATCGAAGTCTGGCTAAAACGTGAGAATATGTATGTTCATTTGTTCCCATATGGGCTCGACTGTGTGTGTGGGTGAAACAACACTATGCGGCTGGCGGTGGTAATTGAGCTCACTAATTACTTCCTGAGCTGAGAGAGTTGTCAGAGAGAGGAGGAGCTGCCACAGATGGTGAGAGACCCACACTGACACCAGGATATCCTACCTCTTCATCATTAGAGCTGAGCATATGTGTTTGTGTGAGACTAAGTAATTGAGGATGTAAGACCAACAAGATTGAGTGTTCAAATTACACTTTAAAACCTCAGACCACACCCGGGCAGGTAAGAAGCTTTGAACAAGATATCAAATAAACGTTTTATCCTTCTATTTAATATTTCCATTTCAAATAAACTACCAGTAGCAATTTATATTAGGTTAGCCTGATGTTTCAATTGATTCCTGCTCCTCTGGTATTCCCAAGACAGCTATTTATCCAGGTACAGTCATGCTCAGCCAATCTACATTCAACTGAACGTACACAACATCCATCCACTTCCAACCATTCTTCAACCAGCTCATTTGGACATATGCAATTGCCTGAGTGCAGGAGGCGCATCAGCATACTTCCATTCCCTTTCTGTCCCTAGATGAGCTTTCCTTCCAGACAAATAGCAACAGGCCAACTACTCACCATTGTGAAGAGCCGTCAGTGCCGCTGACTTCCAGCAAGTCATAGTCGTCCTCCAGCTGAAAGTCGGAGAAAACCAGGGCAATGGTGTCTCCTGGCTCGGCCAGCACCGTCCAGGTGCAGTCAGCGTTGTTGTTGTACTCGGACGGGTAATTGGGAGTGGTGATCACCCCGCTCTGGCCCCGCAATGTCCCGCCACACCCATCATCCGCTGCAGAGAGCAGAGGAGAAGGACAGTGATGTGAAGCTTAGTACAACAGGGAAACTCCAAAGAAAACAAAAAAGATAATCCCCAAATTATTGTACAGAGATTATTGAAGATGCGTCTACACGTGGAAAAAAGTAGGGAAGGTAATTAAAGGCTAACGAACACAAACTGACGCTTAAATGCAGCAGAAGGTATAATTTAAATTTGTAGTGAGCTTATTGAATATTAGCAACATAAGGGTCAATGTCAACAATAACATGATATAACTCTCCAGCATACATGAACTATATCGACCAATAAAGTCATTAACTAAATGTCTGAAAGTAAAAAAGAATGACCTAATTAGACAGATACCGATTTCTTAACTTTTAAAACATATCAAGATTGCAGATTTGAAGTTTTGCAAGGAAAATTGTGTTAGATATTAGCATATTAAGCTATAAAACATGTATTATTTACTTTTCTTGGCTGCAAATTATCTTTTTGCCACTAGCCAAAGTGCATATTTAAAATGTCAGGAGCACAAAAATAGGCAGTGAGTCAGAGAGTATTGCTCCTTTGTCTGCAATTTTCGCCACAGGCCGGAGACACCAGTCTTAGGATTTGAAAATGCCCTACAGATGTTTTAGTGTAGGGTGTGATGCAACCAAACGCAACATAGAGAGGAAAGTGATTACATTCTCATTAATTCACATTTGTGTTAATTAAAAGCAACTCTTCCCTCTTTAAGACTGCTTTAAGTGGATCATTTAGACAAACATTGGCGGTGCCAGGGTATGGCTGGGGTAGGCTACAGCCATACCAAGAAATGGCCCCACCTTAGCCCCACCATGAAAAATGATGTTAAAGTAAGCTAATTAAATTAAATAATAAGCAAAATGCAAAATGTTGAGAACATGGCTTGCGAAAATATACGGGTCGTGTCCACAACACTCAAACTGATCCTGCTGTAACAACAAGTGCACGTTACCGATGCAATATGGTTGAGACCATTCGGGCTTATGCTAGAAGAGGGGTGCAAGGAATAGTCCAAGTAGTGGGGGAGTTGTATACACTAAAGGTGTGGAAATTCTCTGCTGTTATAATATCAGCGCGGGCGCGGTCAGATCAAAATGCCTCCGAATGCAATTTGAATAGACCTACAGCCAATCAGAGCAACGAAACGTTGGGTCTGCATCAAGCATTACTGATTGAGATCAATCGGAACCGCCAGAGCCTCTGGGAGCCGCCATTCAGTATCCCCATTGGATCTTCAACGTGTACTATCATACGTCACGTTCACAGTGATCCCTTTTTATTTACTACAAGACAAATGTGCCATTTTATTTCATACAGTTCCATTTTGATTGAGACAGGGAAATAATCTAAACCTCACGCGTGGCGTTTCACTGTCAAGGGGGGCGATGTAGCGTGTACGCAATTACATTGCAAATACAGACTTGAGCCCCACCACTGTATGGGTTAGCCCTACCATAGATTACATTACATTGTATTTAGCTGACGCTTTTATCCAAAGCGACTTACGATAAGTGCGTTCGACCAACAAGACACAACCTTGAAGAAAACAGAAAGTACATCAGGTTTCATAGAGCTAAAACATTTCAAGTGCTACTAAACTGGCTTTAGATAAGCCAGTCCTTTATTAGTATATAAGTGCTTTGTTAGCAAATCTTTGTTAGTAAATCTATCGATCGAAGTGGAGTCGAAAGAGATGAGTTTTCAGTCTCCCCCGGAAGATGTGCAAGCTATCTGCTGTCCTGATTTCAATGGGGAGCTCATTCCACCATCTTGGAGCCAGGACAGCAAACCCACGTGTTTTTGCTGATGGGAACTTGGGTCCCCCTCGCAGTGCGGGTGCAGCGAGCTGTTTGGCTGATGCAGAGCGTAGTGCACGCGCTGGGGTGTACGGTTTAACCATGTCCTGGATGTAGGAAGGGCCAGATCCATTCGCAGCATGGTACGCAAGTACCATTGTCTTGAAGTGGATTCTAGCAGTTACCGGAAGCCAGCGAAGGGAGCGGAGGAGCGGCGTGGTGTGGGAAAAAAAAAGATTACCCAACAAAAATACTCTGGCGCCACCACTGACTGTAAAGCATGCATTTATGCTGCCAGAATACATCCCCTGCCCAGCTTCTGATATGTTCATCACAGCTTTGGACAATACAGGTGATCTGAAACTGCATTTGTTGAATACATATTTATAAATATCTTGTGTATACATCACTACAATATGTACTGGTGAACAGAGGGGACTCATTAAGTGAAGTTTTTAATGACACGTCCACACTAATACTGTTGCAGGAATGATTTGTGTCTGGGGGTGTATGTGTGTGTGAGGGGGAGCTCTGAGGCGCCGGGCCCTGTCTATCATCCATCCCACCTGTCACCACGGCAACCCCCCTAAGGGAGGGCAAGCGATAGTACGGGCGAGCGGAAACTTGTGAGGTGTGAACTTGAAGAGGGAGGGAAACCACGACAGAAGGGAGAGAAGAAGGGGATGAAGAGGATGACAGGTGACAAGCAAGGATGGGGGAGAGAAAAGTGCAGAGGGAGGGTGGACACTGAGGAGCGAGAGAGAGAGAGAGAGGTGGCGAGAGAGGTGACAGGTGATTGTTGCAGTGGGAGTGACAGGAAGTAGAAGGAAGACAGAAGAAAGTATGAGGGAGTGCATTGATATTCCACACAAGACGGTTTCTTCACACTTGAAGGGAAGTCTCTGCCTGCTACTCTCCCTTTCACCTTGGCTCTCCATATTGTGGCTGACAGTGGCCGATGCAAGTGCTGACCAAAAATGGAAAACGAAATGGCTATACCATGGGCAGTATGAAACCAAAAACCTATGAAAACTTTTACTGAAACTTTCAAATGTTTCCCTTCCCTCGGGGTGAGGATGCTTCCCATTGAACAGAACCTATTTACAGGCTTTCACGTAGGATGTCACGGTTTTACAGTAAGTGTAAGGAGCTGCTTCGAGTGCGATGGTAAGTAAGATATGTGCAAATTCATGCAAGCTATAAAAACAGTTATGCCATCAAAAATACATGTTTACATACACTAAACATGCTCCCAGCTAACACTTAGCTTGGATTTGAAATGGGCCAACTTAATTTGAAACACATTTCAAAACAGAGTGCTTTTGTAATCGTCTGAATAAAGCATAAGCGGCAGAAGATGAATGGATATGTGCGTGTGATGCTGTATCTATAAAAAGGATGACATTTAGCAGTTACAGTAGTAAGCCTTTTTCTGGAAAGATATGCTTAAGGGTTAGGAGAGAGTGTTAGAAACGGAATAAAAGAGTGAGGTTAAATCACTTCTAAGTATACTCATGACAAGTGATGTCGTTTTTAAAGATTATAGCTAAGGGAAGAAATTGATGAGCATAAGATAGGATATGTAAAACATTATCTGTGCCATCAATGGCTGGTTATCTTCTATGGCCTGACAGCGCTGGCACGTTTGCCGTCTCTTCAGTCCAGAAAAGTGACTGTGCCAGAATGTTCTTCCTCGCTCCCAAAGTAAAGTGTCAGTTCTGCTTCTACACATATAGCCATTGGCTGGCTCTAAAATCAGAGTGACATTAATGATACACTAATGCCTTATGAAGGAGGACTCAAGTGTACAAGTCGACTTATATGGCATTATGAGACCTCAGTTGCCCGTTTCTTAATCTCGTTTATATTTGCTGAAACAGTGGCATAATAAAATCCTTTAGGGCTTAAGCTTTTTTATATTTTCTTTGTTGGGATCAGTCTTGTTGGGGCCTTTAAAAGGAGCATGAAGAAGCTTAGTTTGGATATAAACAACAAATTGTTAGTGACGTTAGAGAGAAAAAGAAAGGGGGAAGGAATATGGCACAATTCTTAACAGTTTCTAGAATATAAGATCATCATAACTTTGCATATACATGTGGAGTAGAGGCGTGTGCATGTGATTTGGTGGGTGGGGAATGTGCTGGCACGTGGGTACCAGCCATGTGTGCTCCTATGTGGGCTTCCTGACTCCCAGCCTGGGTGCAGATGGCCCAGTGTCTCAGCATCATGCTCAGCCAGCACACTGACACAAAGCATCGGCCACATGGGCAGAGCAAAGGGACATACATGCTAACATGTTCCCTATGCATGCATTTTAATTATGGGAGAATTTACTTTTAGTTTAGCAAAATCCTGCAAAATGATGTCAAATAATATCACGTTTGCCTACAGTGAAACATTATCAAGAATTGTGTGATGATAGGTCAGCCAACAGACACTGGCAGGTGTCGCTGCCACAGGGGGGCTAACTGTGAGGAAAGGGCAACTGGCACAAGCACCTGACTGGGAGCTAACACATGAGGTCCTGTCATGGTAAATAAGATATCAGTATAACTACAGAAAACCTCCTGAGGTTATGTGGAGATGTGTTTAAATCATAGACTGTATATTATGTAAGGTTTACATACAGTACATGTGAGTGTGTGTGGACTGGAGGATGGGTGTATTGATTAGTAAATGAAGGACAATGAAAGGTTGAATACTGTTTTAGAGAGATACAAATTATATTTTAGTATATCTAATTAATGTAATTTGGTATCACCAAGATTTGTATTTTTTTTTAATTCTGATGTAATCCTGAAATAACATCCCTATGATTTGGCCAAAAATTATCTTTGATGTTAGTCAATATAAAATAAGTAATTTTTAGCAAATATTTATCAAACTAAATGTGATCATCTGTGGTATATCTCTGATTATTCTTTCAGCCCTCAGAGGCATACCATTTTCTGCAAAGCTAATTGTAACGTTTGCTTTGTAGACAATGTCCTTAGATTTAGCCCAAAGACCTGTTCTGGCAGACAGTTTATCCCTGGTCCCTCCTTCATACCTCTGCAGTAGGGAAGGGGAAAATCCCAGGCAGCAGTGCCCGCTGAAGTGGCGAGGCAGGACAGGGTTGTGTGACCCTCGAGCACGTATCCCGGGCTGCAGCTGTAGCGGATTTTGTCCCCAATGTTGAACGTGGACCCCTGCTGGTGGCCATTGAGTAGCTGTCCAGGATTACCACAAGTGTAGCTGGGCAGAGCTGGAGAGAAAGGGGAGAGAATAAAGAGTTAATGAGGCAGCCTGGGGCACTTTGTCGTGTTAGTACTACTGACAAGAGGCAGAACATCAGTGAAAAGAACAGGAACAGTCAGGTCAATGACACACACACACACGCCAACATATCTGACCCAGCAATGAATGACTTCCAAAAAACACGAATAAAATATTGTCTTGCTATACACAGATCTGTGTAATAACAAAAGTGTTAATACAGCACTACCAACCAGATGATGTACCATTGTATGTAACATTAACATTTTATATCCTCTCGTCGATTTACATTTCAATTTATTTTTAAAGTGCTTTTGATGTCATCTTGACCATCATGGCTAGTCCAATCATGTCCTTGCATGCAAATAAGTGAGCCCTGTATTGACAGAACCTAGTCTAATTGTGTGTTATTATGCAAATCGAGTTCAAAGGAAGTTCAGCCAATCTCTTGCTCCTGATCCCCTTGATCACTGGTGCAGTAAAAGACATTATTGTAACTTATTTTCTCATTGATTACATAGTGTTTGATAACAGCTGGCTATACAATTATATATAGTTAGAGGGTGGATAGTTTTGTTATTTCTACATTTCATATGATTAATATGTCTGAATTTAACTGCCATGACCAAACATGCATTCCACACACGTGCAGTCTGCCATCCAGCCTGCAGCCCCAGTCACACAAGGAGGGAGCTGACCAGAGCATGTGATGGACTTTGGATGAAACTCAGTGTCTCCACAGGGGGTCTGTGCTGAACACCGTAGAGGACCGAATTGCTCCTATCCTGCAACACAGCTTACTGGCACCTTAACCGCACACTCAATGTACAATTCCTTTTTCTATCAAATGTATCCAGCCTTAAAAAAACACATTGACAATAAATCCAGCCCCATATTTGGTTTGGAAAATGTTCTTCATTTGTTTTAAGATATGTCTAAACAAGGATAAGCATGATTACATGACATGTCTTCTTTGCAACAGTGTTTTTTTATATGCATCACACACCCTACAAAAGGCTTTTATTCTTTCCCTTTTCTAACACAGTAAGCTAAAACATCCTTACAGCAAGGTCTAACAAGGGCGGATCAATCATTTTTATCCAACAGTGCATTCCACAGGGCTTGAGCGGTAGAATTAACTGGCTGCTAAATAAATACACTGCAAATTGTTTGTGTCCAGTCCACCATCAACAAACATCACCTCTAAGAGCATTATTTTGGATGTGTCTGTGTGCATGTTCCCCTCACAAAGGTTACCTTAACTGTGAAGCTGCAGTGTAAGCCTATCTAAGTGACGCTATCTCAAAGCTTGGATATGAATTTGGGCTATTTTGTTATTTTTGGCAGTCTATATTTATGGACTGTGTGTTGAGGGGTTTGCAGATGACAGATGTGCAAAAAAAGAGAAGGAAATGTACTGTCTCGCCATTCAGTGCGAGTCCCCGTATTTGGAAATGCATTAGTGACTGACAGAAAACAAATTCATACAAACATCAAAAGGTCAGAAAAAGTGATGATATTTATAGACAGTAAGTTATTAAAATATTAGAAATGAATAACAAGTATTTAAATGCGTATTTGTGTGCAGGGGGATTTGGAGGTAATGGACTTTCTCTGCATGTGGATGCGTCTATAATGAAATATGTGCTTTGCATTTCACAATTTCTTCCTTTAAATACATTTCTAATTAAACATGTCTCATAAAGTTCCCAATTAGCTAAGCCACTCTGATGCTAGCTCGTTTTGAAAGGATTTCCCACCTAAAGATATACGAGCACAGAGTAGTTCCAATCAAGAAAGTCAGTATCAACATTGTTGTTCAACAGAAAAACATCAGCCAACTGTGGACCACAGATGGAAATGAGCTATTAGCTATAATCTGGCATATTGCATCTCTTCTCTTTGCTGAGATTAATGTTTTTGTATGCATGGTCCTTCTATAAATAAAGAAAAAAAGAACTATTGTCACAATTCGAAATTCCCTACTTTTCAAAAGAAGCACTTATATGAAAAGTGAAATGTGCAGCGACTCACAGAGGACTACAGCTGCGTGCTGCACTTCTAGTTCCATCCCAATCAGTAATTTCACAGCAGGTGTTTTCCATCTGTTTAAGGTGGAACACCTGCTCAGACATCAAATATTCCAGCCTGAATGACTCGGTGCTGATTTATCTTTTAAAATACCTTATTAGTACTCGGGTACTCTCCCTCTTGCTATACTCTGATGACAGAGTGACTTGTCACTTTCAGGCTCCACTGTGCCATAGCCTTTATTTTGACCAGCCAAGGCCAATTTATTATAGCTCCCCCTCCATCACTACCAGATAAGCATATGCTGTAAACAAGGACTCTGTCTGATTAGCATATTAGCCGCTGGGACTCAGGCTTCAGTGCAGCAGCATGGCCACAGGGGGCCCTGGTGGCCTGCGGGTAATGGCTTCACCCCTGTGGTTGTCACCATGTACAACTAGGCTGGATTACTGTAGCTGCTATGTCACAAAGGTTTGAGTCTGAGAAACATTAAATGAGAGGGGGGTCGGCTCAGATAGGGTTGGCGTGTAAGAAATAGTACAGAACAGAAATAGTTAATGTTTCAAGACTTGACTTGTGCCAGTGCCAGGGCACTAATATTGTGAAGTTAAGTCGAAAAAGTGAAATTACTGGTGCAACTAGAGCACTGAATTGGCAAATACCTAGTAACCTGCCTGAGAATCCACACTCTCTTCATTCCAACATTGCCAGTATTTGATATGATGTATCAAGGCCATGACATTCATAGTGGACAAAACACCTGAATTTAAACATTCATTGTTCCGACACTCTTATTTCCCTCGTAAAGTAACTTGATAATGGTTAACATTTTGTAGCAGGTAAAGTTTCTCTCTAGGTATAATAATTCAGCATAACCTGCTGAGAACTGAGTTTCTATATATTTCCAAAACTGTGAAAACAAGGCAGAGGTGTATAATTAAAAAACAGCCTTTTTGTGCATTGTGTGCTTCAAACGTATTTATCACACTATTTTCAAATTGCTTCCTGTAGGTTATATCTTAAACAAAAACAAAAGTATAAAAAGGGAGATGGAAAGGAAGATAAAAAAACATCACTAAAACACACACCAAGGAGAAACAATTAGAAAATATATTTGCCTGCGACTTCACATTACTCTCCATTAACTTCCTCCCCTGCACACACTTTCATGCATCAGCATTATCTCAAGCATTGTTCTAAAGATCAAAAGCCTTTCTGTTTTATAACCAAGTCATGGGTTTCTTCCAGGGGGTCCGGCCTGTGTCATCACGTGGACTATTATATCCCACCCCCCCACACCCAAACCCGCGTCAGCAGCCCTTGGGTTTTTGTCATGGCAGGTCCATAAGTCACCAGGATGGGAGACTGTGACATGGATCATCCCTGGGGGCCCGGATACTTTAAGCACTTCCACTGCTGAAACGGCAAAGGATGCTCCTCGTCCATCAATGCTTCCCTCTCTATGGCACACACTGGCTTACAGTCAAAAGCATATGAACAGGCTCAAGTGGGACAAAGCAAGTGTGCACACACACACGCTGAGAGCAAAGAGCCATGCCATCGATCATACCATCCGCCCCTTACATCATCCGCTTACATTCCTTTATTCCCTCCCATCTCCCTTTATACCCTTTTATTCTCATTGACTAAGACAGAAGACAGTGGAGAACGTCCAATCGGAAGACCTTTGACCCGGATAAGACTGATGGTGTCTCTTCCTGGGCGACTTGAAGCCTGTTCCTTAATTTGTTATCCTCTCCTCTGGGAAAGTGAAAAGTAATATACTCATGCATTCTGTAAAACACATTTGTCACAAACATGTTCTCAAACAGGCTGCTGCCAAAGGTTTTCAAATGTATAGCAAATACTCGTTGTAAGGGTGTTTTTCTATAAGAACGTATTTGAATAGTTGCTGTATTTGTAGACACTGAAAAGGTTACATTATCGGGAAATTATGATTTCTGCTTTATCTACAAGAGCAGATTTATCATAATGTATTGTGTCTCTTAAGTAATACAAATTACAATTCTCTTGTAGAACTTGCCAATTTCAGGAATTATATCAGATGCAATATGTTGAGGTTAAGGGAAGGGCAAAGGAGACTTAAAGACAAACCGAGAGAATGTGTGTGAGAAGCAAAGGAACAATGTAACATAACAGCTGGAGAGACAAGCCAGTCTCAGTAAAGGTGATCCAACGTCAGTGTGTCTGCGCTGTTTTAACCAACTGAACAATATGCATTAAATCATTAAAAGTGCTACATAACAAGTAAAGTATTTACACATACATATTCCTTGTAAGGTACTGCGGAGGTGCTGTACAGTATGGAATGCACCGGCAGGCAAAAAGCCACTTTTCCTGATTTATATTTATCCTTACAATGACTGCATTTCCTAACATGACTAGATACCTGTCACGGCCCGTCTACACAGCGGTGTGCGTTGAAAGCTTCACCATTCACCTTGAATGGGGTGACGTCACTTTTCGCCGAACTGCATTGTGGGAAGCGACGCGGAGCTTTGCTGGCGTGGCTCGCTGCAAAAGTTGAGCAATGTTCAACTTTTGAAGCCTCTGCAGAAGCGTCAGCCAATCGAATCATATGCCAGTACAAGCTCTAGCCAATCAAACCGCTGCTTGTGTGTCAGGGGCGGGAGATTCATGTGATTGGTTGTTGGTCGAGTTTCAGACACGCCCGCCGGCAAGCTTCAACGCACGCCGCTGTGTCAGTATTTCTCTTCAATGTTCCAACTTGGTTTAAATTAGCAAACAAGGATGGGCTAGTAATAAGGACTGTCTCAGAAGTAAGAAAGAGAGAGAGGGGGAAACAGGAAAAGATCCATATTATGTCAACCGTTGGTAGGGACCCCCCCCACAATGATAAAAGCAAGGATGTTGGAAGTAACAGCACTGTGATCAATATGAAGGAGTTTCATTGTGCAGCACTGTCTCTAACTGAGT